GCTCCGGAAGTTGGAAAAATTGAATTTGAACGAGGTGGTTTTCGTTGTGGTGGGGCCTACAGAGAAGTGTGCGGGTGTGATTATGGGTGGGACTGGTTCAGGTGAGCTTGGATATTGAGCCGGTTGTATAAAAAAGGCGTGGGTTAAACGCAACGGTCGATTGGCAAAGAGACCGCTCGATGGCTGTTGAAACGCCCGTGGATATTACGCATTTGCCACTACGTCGGGAGAAAGGCCCGGCTTGAAAATGCGTTGGTGAGCAAATAACACCTATTAGGGGTGCTAAACCGTATCTGTATCCGAGAAAACATCCGTAACCGTATCCGTTAGGACACGAATATGGTTATTTAAATCTATAACCGATAGGATATAGTTACGGATATGGTTTTTGTAGTGAAATATCCGTATCCGTATCCGAAATATCCGAATACATATTAATCATACTCTTACGATAGTTTTGATTCTTAGATTATGGATTTTGTTGAATAACTGATTCAAAATTTGTTATTAGGTTGTTATTTTGTTAGGGCATGTTCGTTTATTTCCTAAAAACCAAGAAATGGAAATGGAAAAGGTGGAAATCTCAAAATAATCCATTTCTTTCATTTTCATCCCTAAAACTCACCCACAACATCCAATAAAATATTATTTTCATCCAACAACTCATCCACATCATCTAATAAAATATTTTTTTTATCTAACCACTCATCCACCACATCTAATAAAATATTATTTTTATCTAACAATTCATCCACCACATCTAATAAAATATTATTTTCATCTAACAACTCATCCATCACATCTAATAAAATATAATTTTTATCCAAACATCACTCAACTCATCTCTTTTCATCATTTCAAATCACTCACATCATCGAATAAAATATTATAACAATTCACCTCATCTCATTAACATTTCATTTCTTTGTTTTCATCCCAAAAAGTTGTGAAAACACTTTTCTTAATCTTTCTTCACATCACCCAATAATACAATGACAACTCATCTTATCTCATTTCATTTCTTATTTTTAAGAATGAACCAAACAAAAGAAAACAACAAAACTACAGGAAATATGTTTCTTATAATTCATTTCCTTATTTTTTTCGCCAACCGAACAACATCAAAACTAGTTTTCTTAAAAAACCACTCACATCATCCAATAATAATGTGACAACTCATCTCATCTCATCTCCATTTCTTTGATTTCCTTTTTTTTTAGCCAACCAAACAATTCAAAAACCCATTTTTCTTAGAAATAGTTTTCTATTTCTTTGATTTCCCATTTTTTTAAGGCAAACGAACAGGCCCTTAGTGGAGTTGTTGCTAATTAGTTTACATTTTTATGGGATTAAGTTGTTTTGTAAGCCTATATAAAGGCACTTTTAGTTGATGAATAATATAGAGAAAATATTATCTTCTCATCTCCTCTCAAATTTCCAACATGGTATCAGAGCCTTATTTCTCGGATGCGCGGATTTTATGAAGGAGCAAGATCAGAAGATGAGGCTTCGTGGCCTCGACGCCCAGAAATCCAACATCGCCGCTGGCGTCGCCGAATCTCGTATCCTACGCACTCCGCTTGGCCCTAAGGACATGGACAAGATGAAGCAGAGCCCTGCCGGCGACCTCATCATCACAAACGATGGGGCAACATTCTTGGAACACATGCACGTGGACAATCAGATTGCAAAGGTGATGGTGGCTAATCATTCATATGCAGGAGGTAGCGATTACTTAGCTTCGAAGATTAACGAAGACAAAGACATTATGCTTGGAAAGACCAAAGGCGGAGGCTCTGCCTTCTAACTCATTGTTATGTATCATTGCTTAAATTTTGGAGAATCATGGTGAGATGTGCACCATGGAGAGATTGGACAAATATTTGTGGAGAGATGTGCTCCTTTAAGAGAATGTTGGTGATTATGTGCATCAACAAGCACTAGTAGAAAAACCCACATTCTAGACGGAATATTCTAGACGAAAATTTTTCCGTCTAGTTTGCATTAAACTAGACGGAAAATTTCCGTCTAGAATATTCCGTCTAGGAAAAAATATTCTAGACGGAAATTTCCGTCTAGAATAACAAAATAGACGGTTTTAATATTTTCTAGACGGAAATTTCCGTCTAGAAATTTCCGTCTAGAATAACAAAATAGACGGTTTTAATCTATAGTATATAGATTAGGAAACACTATTGATGAGTAGAGGATCCCAATCCCAAAATTTCACCCCCAATTTTCGTTTCCCCGCCTAAATTCTTTAACTCTGAAATAAAATCCCAAATCGCTGCCTTTCATCCCCAAATTTCGTGATTCCCAAATTTCATTCCCAAATTTCTCCCCCTCCCTCTTCATCCACTACCAGTTCCCCTTCTCCTTCGCAGCCTCCTCTCCCTCTCCCTCTCCCGGCCCCACCCAGGCCCAACCCCCTCGACCGCATCCTCGTCGCCAGGGCCCACTCCCCCGCCGACCTCCTCTCCCTCCTCCCCCGTGCCGAGTCCTCCTCCCTCCTCGGCTCCGCTAAGCTCGTCGTCGTCGACTCGATCGCCGCGTTGTTCCGGTCGGAGTTCGACAGCAGCGCGGGGACCTGAAGCGGAGGTCGGAATTCGGCAGCACTGCGCTGTTCATAGTCTTCCAAAAGTTTGATTTTCTTGCTCCCAACCAAGTCTTCCTATTTTATCTTGTGGCTAAATTCCTTAAGCTATTTATAGGCCAATGATTAAATGATTAATAATGACAATCATATGTCTGAAGATCATCTGTATTGACGAATTCTAATCTTCTCTATGAGGCCTTTTTGTTGCTTTTGTTATGTTTACTTATTTCTTGAAAATGAGAACTTTTTATTTTATGTGGCGCCTTCCTTCTGAGACCTCTAATTATTTTGTTTTAATTTTATGTAATCAAATGGTCAAGTGATGATCTGTGCATAGTTCAAATGAAAAATCTCTAATGAGATTTTGATTAATATTTTTCTAGTCTTTCGCTCCTATCTGATGACCACCACTTTTTCCTTCAAAATAACATTCCATAAAAGAAACAAACTTTTATATAGAATTTTAATTAATATTTCCTTTTAGGATTTGGGTATTTCTTTGTAAATTTATGTATTCTATGTTTATTTGAGTGAACTTTCATTTGCTTCTACAAGGAATTTATATTGGATAACTGGTTTGCGTATGAGTGAGCTTAGATGTTCAAGGATTGAGTTGATTTTTACAATTTATATGAATTAAGTGGGGACTGCAGAAAATATTATTGGTTTGCTTCCTGGTTGTAATTTTATTTGACAGATCACATGTAGCACACTTTCTGTTCGACAATATGCATCAATGAAACAGGAACTTCATGTTATTCTCAATGAACACATTAACATTGATCATTTTGACAGTCCAAACTTAGTACTTATTTAGCAAGTAACCTTATATGGTTTTCCAGTAATTCAAACAATATTTCATTATGTGTCTTACAAATAATTTATAAAAGTCGAGATCCCATTTAAGCCTGCAAGAGTCCTGTTGCAGGTCTTGCTTTTAATTTTCTTCTTTTTTACTTGATTCTTCATTTGGAAATGTTTGGTGAAATTCATTTGGAAAGTATGAAAGAGAAATGCAATTGTCTTCATCTTGATTCATGGAGTAGAGAAGACACAAAGTCAAAGTTCTGAATTATTTGTTTGTTAGAGTACATTGTTTAGGCAGAAGAATTGGAAATAATAACTAGCTCCTAGTTCTAAAACCTAAAATTTGGTTAACTGCAGGAAAGTTTTGGCGCCACTGAAGAGACGAGGATCCTATGGGGGATATTTTGACATCATGTACGGCTTCTTGAACAACATACCAATGGGGAATCAGGTAAGATCATATAAATTGTGGTGATGTACATAACAAAGGTGATGTATTAATGCTTTGTTAAATGATGAACATTTTTTCCAAAAGGAGAGCATGTAAATACATACTTCCTGAAAATGACATTTTCCTATAAAACAAGCTTTTGTTTAGCTCAGATGGAGAATAAAGCCTTGTTTAATCACAGTGCCATTGATCATTATTTCTTTGTTGCTTTGTTTGGTAAACTTATGGGGTGAAATTTGGTCCAGGGATGCATCCGTGGGTGTTGGTAGATGGATTTGATATAGCTAAAAGGGCAACTCTGGAATTCCTTGATATAGCTAAAAGAGATCTTGAAGATGGTTGTGAGAACACCTCTTAGAACGAAGGTATTTATTCTTCTCTTTTGTAGCATCATTGATTTTCAGATTATAGCGCCTCTAGAGTACGTTTCAGTTTTGTTTGCCTATCAGTTGATGCAAGTAACTGAAAATCTTGGTTTTGTTTGCGTATGATTGACATGTGCTTGCTACAGGTGTGATGGTTCACTGATGCAAGTAACTGTGGAAATCTGCTTGTCAGTTTTTTCTTGCTGGTATATTCTAAAGATGATGAGGAAGAAGGTGAAGAAGGAGAAGAAGAGGGCTGGTATATAGGGAAGGAGTTGAAGAAACTTCTGTAGTGTCATAGCTATTGTAAATAATTTATGTAAAAGTTTATAAACAATTTATGTATCTTTCTACTATTTTGGTGAATGTATTATTTGAATATAATAGGATTTGTTATTGAAATATAATTAGATTGTGTTGAATATGAATATAATGTTTTGTTGTTCAATATTGTGTATAAGCATCCAAAGTAGATTCTGCAAAAAAAAAAAAACACTGTAGCAAGTATCCTAGACGGAAATTCCGTCTAGGATGCTCAAATTCCGTCTAGGATACCTTTTTAAAATTAAAAAAATAAAAAAAAACAATTTTCGTCTAGAATAACGGAAAATTCCGTCTAGAATAATCCGTCTAGGATGTATTCTAGACGGTTTTGAATTCCGTCTAGAATATTCCGTCTAGAATGTATTCTAGACGGAATTTCCGTCTAGAATAATCATTCTAGACGGAAATTTCCGTCTAGAATAATCATTCTAGACGGAAATCTTTTCCGTCTAGGATACATTATTCTAGACGGAAATTTCCGTCTAGAATAATCCGTCTAGAATGTATTCTAGACGGTTTTGAATTCCGTCTAGAATATTCCGTCTAGAATGTATTCTAGACGGAATTTCCGTCTAGAATAATGTATTCTAGACGGAAACTTTCTAGACGGGTATTCTAGACGGAATTCCGTCTAGAATACCCATCCTAGACGGAATTTTGAGTATCCTAGACGGAATTTTCCGTCTAGGATACCTTATTTTTTAGCAGTGAAGATTGAGATGAGAAGTGCATCACAAAGTGGAGAGAAGTGCTCTATGAAGATTCAAGAGGAATGACAAGAAATTTTGAATCAAGGGGGAATGTTGAATAACTGATTCAAAATTTGTTATTAGGTTGTTATTTTGTTAGTGGAGTTGTTGCTAATTAGTTTAGATTTTTATGGGATTAAGTTGTTTTGTAAGCCTATATAAAGACACTTTTAGTTGATGAATAATATAGAGAAAATATTATCTCCTCATCTACTCTCTAATTTCCAACAGATTTGTGGTTAATTTTGATGATCGATATGTCTAATTTTAACTTTTTAATTATAATTGACATATTAACAAACTCTTTTGTATCACATGAACTATATTTTTCTCAATACTATCTAGTTTTCTCATAACTGTTTTATATTCGCATGCATATCCGCTTATATATTCGCATGTATATCCGTAACCGTATCCGATTTTAGCGGATATGATTATAAATTTTCCTTACCGAGGTATATCTGTATCCGTATCCGAGATGGGTAAGCGGATATGGATATGATAAGCATCATATCCGAACAGAATGCACCCCTAATACCTATACTAGGGTGGGGAATTTTGGAAAAGGCAAGGAAATCATATCTAAACAAAAGGCTCTTCCGTTTTGATAGTTATACGTCATGGGTCATGCGTTGCGAAAATTTTCATTTCAATATTCTCATATCGCAATAACATGTTAATTTTATAACTTTTTACCTATTAGTATTTTATTAAAGTTATTATTAAACAAATCCAAACCCTATTTTAAAATAGATTAACATAAGTTAAAAAATAATTTCGGTAGAAATGGTCAATAAACATCTCGTTGTTCTAAAGTACCAAAAATAATACTGACTGATACATTTACATTTTTTATCTTTGCATGTACACCATGATCATAATAATTTCTGGTTGATAAGGTATGAATTGGCTCCCTTCAACTCTGGATCACCAAAATTATCAACCATAAAGCAGCAAATCGCACCAGATTTGAAAGGGTTATTAGTGACAGACCCTGTAGTATTGCTGTTTTGAGCTTACTTCCCATCTAGCTTTCATCAAGGGGTTTATTTGTAAATAAAAATCTCTCAGAGGGCAAAAGAATCAAAATTTCATTCAGGGAGTCTATCTTCAACAATCTATATCTATATCTATATCTATATCTATACTACTTCTAAAAGAGAAAACCATTATCAAAACTTTTGCATACCCATTTTGCCCTTTTAAACTGGCTTAATTATAATTTTATCCTATAATTCTATTTAATTATTGTTACTTTGCCCTTTTTACCTTCTGATGATTATCAATGTTTAAGATTATTATTATTAATTAATTCACATTAAAAACTGAGCGGTTACGAGTGCCCTTTCACTTGCCGCCCAATTCTTCTTCATCTCTGGTTCTTCCATTTCTCAACCACTCACTGAGAAACGGATGAATCCCCCCGTTCGCTCCTCGTGTCGTCTCTCCCTGCGTCTCATACAGAAGAATACCAATTATAAAACCTTAATCTATTTAAAATCCCAAACAAAATCCCTTGGCTCCATTAACGAGCCCTGCTTGATTCCTCGATCGCGATCGTTCTCGATTGCATCTTTGAGAGCGTCTCTTCCTTCCTTCTCCCTCTCCCTTTCCCTTTCCCTCGTGTTGCAATGGCCG